AGGTTTCTAGCAATTGTTTATTGTAAAACATTTTTTTCTTCCTTCAAACAATATCACAAATTCTTTGACTGTCAAGTTTGTCATTTTAATTTTATTTCTAATATACAAAGACATGTCTATCACCTAATTTATTACCTTAATTTTTCTTGCCTTATTTATGCTGTCTCCCCATGTTTTCTTATTTTCATTTGTTTGCCTATATTTCTCATTCCTTTTTCCCCACCAGTAATTTGGAAGTGATATTTCCTATTTCTCTTACTTTAAGAGTTTGTCCTTGAAATTATACCACACTTACTATACTTAAGTTAATATCTTTAGACATAGAGTGATATGAGAATTTGGGAACATTTAAACTTGTCACCTCCCCCTCAATTTGAATTTTATGGTATCCATTTCATATTTTATCCATTCTATTTTCTGCTCTCCTTATTAATTAATATTATTGATTGTGCTGTTATTTTATCCTATCATTTTCATTTATTTATATTTTTCATTACTAGTCCTTCTTACATCTGAGACCCTTTTTCCATGATAATTTCTTTTTCCTAAAGTATATAATTAAAATAATTTTAGTAATTGCCTTAATAATTAGCAAATATCTCAGGCTATAGGTGGAAATTGCTCCTAATTTTTCTTTATCTGAAAATATCTTTATTTATCACAATATTTGAAAGATAGTTTTGCTGCTACACAGTTCTGAGAAGGCTTTCAGAATATTACACTGGGCTTCTGATTTTATTCATGGTTTTTTGTTTTTTTGTTTTTGTTTTTGTGGTGCTGAGAATCAAACCCAGTGCCTCACATGTGCTAGGCAAGTGCTCTACCTAGCCACAACCCCAGCCCAATTATTCATGGTTTTTGAGTAAGTTGATGGAAAGTAAATGTTAATTTATCTGAAGATGGTTTTTGAAAATCTTCTAATTGTGCACATCTTGTTAAAAGATGCTAATCAATCCAGGTAAATATAAAATATATAAATCTTATCTGTGTGCTTCTTTCTTTTAAAAATCTTCTCTCTGTCTTTGGTGTTCTCTAGTTTCATTACATTGTGTGTATTAGAATGGTTTTCCTTTTTGCTGTCCTGTCTGGTATTTGTTTTTCTTCTTTTATTTTACATTAGTTGAGAAAAAAATCAGTTACTAGATTTTAAGTTATTGCTTCCCCTTCCTTCATTTTTTTCTTCTGATTCCTAGTAGGCATAGATTAGACCTTCTCATTCTGTGATCTATTTCTCTAGCCTTCTCCCCAGCTAATATTTCTTTCTTCTTTGAAAGTTCTATTTTATTCTTCCACAAACCTCCCAAGTCATTTTGTATAGCTTCTTGTCCCTATTTATTTATTTAGTGTTGTTAGGGATTGAACCCAGGGCCTCGTGAATGCAAGTGCTACTCTACCAACTGAGCTATATGTCCAGCCCCATCCCCTATTTTTGAGAGCATTAATATTCAGGATATACAAAGAACTCAAAAAACTTAACACCAAAAATAACAATCCAATCAATAAATAGGCAAAGGAACTGAACAAGCACTTCACAAAAGAAGAAATACAAATGGTCAAAAAATATATGGAAAAAATATTCAGCATCTCTAGCAATTAGAGAAATGCAAATTAAAACTACACTGAGATTCCATACACTCCAGTCAGTACAGCAATTATCAAGAACACAAGTAACAAGCTGGGGGTGGAAGCACAGCACATGCCTGTAATCCCAGTGGCTGGGAAGGTGAGGCAGGAGGATCAAGAGTTCAAAGCCAGCCTCAGCAATTTAGCAAGACCCTAAGCAACTCAGAAAGACCCTGTTTCTATATAAAAAATAAAAATGGCTGGGGATGTGGCTAAGTGGTTAAGAGTCCCTGAGGTTCAATCCTGGTACCAAAAAAAAAAAAAAAAAAAAAGAATAAAAGTAATAATAAATGTTGGCGAGGATGTGGGGGAAAATGTTCACTCATACATTGCTGGTAGAACTGAAATTGGTGGAACCGCTATAGAAAGCTGTATTGAGATTCCTCAGAAAACTTGGAATGAAACCACCATTTCACTCAGTTATCCCACTCCTCAGTTTATATTCAAAGGACTTAAAATCAGCATGCTACAGTGACACAGCCACATCAATGTTTATAGCAGCTCAGTTCACAATAGCCAAGCTATGGATCCAAACTAGGTGCCCTTCAACAGATGAATAGATTTTTTTAAAAAATGTAATACACACACACACACACACACACACACACACAGGAATATTACGAAGCTATGGAGAAGAATGAAATTTTGGCATTTGCTGCTAAATGGATGGACCTGGAGAATATCACGCTAAGTAAAATAAACCAATCCCAAAAAAACAAAAGCTGAATATACTTTCTGATATGTGGATGCTAACCCACAACAAGGGGGATAGGGAGGGAAAGAATAGAAGTTCATTGGATTAGACAAACGAGAAAGAAAGGGGGTGGGAATAGGAAAAACAGTAGAATTAATTGGACATAACTATCCTTTGCTCATATATGAATACGTGACCGGTGTAACTCAACATTATATATACCCACAGAAATGGAATTCTAATTGGAATGGATTGTACTCTATATATGTATAATTTGTCAAAATACACTCTACTGTCATGTATATCTAAAAACAAGAAATAAAAATACCCATATGCCATCTACCAGCTCCTTCTCAATCATACCCTGGTTCTCATAGTAATCTCTTAATCTCATATTTCTTCAAATATTTATCATTATATAGACTAATTTTGCTTCTTTCAATCCATGTGTTCTCCCTCCCATCTCTTTAATTTTATAGTTTGCAGCCTATCTAAGAAACTGGATAGGTTTTCTGTAGTTACCCATGGTCAAAATGTAGCTGAATGGGACTGGTTGTAGCTCAATGGTAGAGCACTTGGCCTCACACATGTGAAGCACAGGGTTCAATATTCAGCACCATGTTAAAAAAAATAAAGATATAAAAAATTTAAAAGATATAGCTGATATTATAACTATGTTGTAATTTAATAAATTCCTCTGCCATTTATAATTTTTTTTTTTTTTTTTTTTTTTTTTTTTTGCGGTGCTGTGAATTGAACCCAGGACCTTTGCACTTCCTAGGTAAGCACTTTACCACTGAGCCAAATTCCTAGCCCTGTAATTTTTGATCATTGGTAATTAGGTCTTTTGGGAGGAGAGTGGGAGGAGAGAAGGTACTAGGGATTGAACTCAGGGGCACTTGACCACTGAGCCACATCCCCAGCCCTATTTTATATTTTATTTAGAGACAGGGTCTCACTGAGTTGCTTAGTGTCTCACCATTGATGAGGTTGGGTTTGAACTCAAGATCCTCTGCCTCATCCTCCCAAGCAGTTGGGATTACAGGCATGCGCCACTGTGCCTGGATGAATCTTTATTTTATTTATTTTTTTAGCTGTAGAAGGACACACAATATCTTTGTTTATTAATTTATTTTTTATGTGGTGCTAAGGCTTGAACCAGTGCCTCACGCATGCCTCACACAGACAAGCGCTCTGCCACTGAGCTACAGCCCCTAAATCTTTATTTTTAATGGATTATTTTAGCCAGTTTTTAAACAATTTAATTTTCATCTGTTTTCTGGGGGAAAAAATTACCTCTTACCTTTTTAAATAGTTATTCTGCTTGTGAGGCAGAAGGAAGTGGGTTGCAAGTTGCAGCTTAGGCAACTTAGTGAGACCCTGTCTCAAATAAAAAGTTAAAAGGAATTGTTGGGGATATACCTTAGTGATAAGAGTGCCCAGTACCACCACCAAAAAAAAAAAAAAATTATTCTAGCTAGTGGCACGTGCCTGTAATCCCAGCTACTCAGGAGGATTGCAAATTCAAGGCTAGCTTCAACAATTAGTGAGACCTGTTTTAAAATAGAATTTAAAAAGGAAGGGCTGGGATGTAGCTCAGAGGTAGATTGCCCCTGTGTTCAATCCCCAATACTGGGAAAAAAATTATTCTGAATTTTCTGTAAATTATATTATCTTAAGTCCTCAACAGATCTACTATTTTCTTCAGACTCTTTGCACACAATGGTTTATTTCCTCGTTTGGTGATTTTTATGAGAGCACATTTTTTTAATCTCATTCCATAGCAAATTAGCAATCCAATTAAAGGTGCTCTCAATATTTCCCTTTGTTTCTCTTGCAAACCATGGTGCCTTTTGGACTTGGGAGACCTTCATCAGGGAGTCTAGAATTCTTAACCCTTTTGCCATGGTACAAGTTGATGCTCGTGGCTTCAGATTTTGCTTTCTTTTGCTTGTTATTTGCTTGTCATCTGTTCTTTTCCATTATACTTTTATCTTTAAAATAGTTTTGTGTTCCATAGCCTATTTTGTAATGCTGTTTTCTGAATAAATATTTTTAGGCTCCATGAAAAGTATCATTTTGTAGTAAATAAGACTTCATTTACCTGAACTATGAAGTGAGGAAATTCAGTCATAGATAGTCTTTGATGAAGACCAACATCTGACTTAAAATTAGGGCAATATCCTTTCTTGTCACTGGATATCTATCATGTCCAAGTGGCTGCCTGCTGGGATATGGATCTGTAAATAGATACTTTCTCAAAAAAATGCTCCTTATTGTTGTTCTCATCATAATGTTACACTGATGCTTTTCTCAGTATTGAGTTCTCACATAAAGTAGAAAGGTCTTCTCTAATGGAGAACAGGGTAAAATGGAAAAAGAGGACTGTTTCTAGGCAGCAGTAATATATGTGGTTTGAGAAAATGGTCATCTTTATGTGTTTTTCAACCACATTCAGCTTAGGGATTTGTTTTGTGCCAAGAAAAAATTCTGTCTCCTATATTTTGTGGCTAAACACCTGTTTATACAAGTCCAAAAAGTACGTCCTTAAATCTAACTTCATTCCCCCTGACTCAGCCATTTAGGAAGATAAATACAGTGGATTTCCAGTGAAAGAAAGGCAGATCTTGATCTCTATATGAATCCAAACTTCTCCTCAAAGAACAACTGTGATTTCTTACAGAGTCTGCCTTCTGGTGCAAGATGCCTATGGGATGTTTGGTGAAGTGTACTTAGAAGGTGCCATGTTGAAGGGCAGACAGTTGGAAGGGAAGTCCTGCAGGCTGGCAGGAATGAAGGTTCTACAGAAAGCCACCAGAGGAAGGTAAGGCTGCACTGAAAGTGCATCCAGTTTGCTACAGTGGCTGGTTTTTTGATTAACCTCTTATTTCTAATATTATTTTTAAAGACAATAAGCCAGGGTCATCCTATATTTTGCCAGTAAAACAAGGCCAGGAATTGAGTGGAACCCATAATATACCTCTAGGACAAAACTATAATTGAACAACAAAAAGAATTATGCAGTTTAGTGGTTCATAATTTTATTAAAATTAAGAAGATAAAATGGAGGTAAAAAACATCTATATCTCCCAGACTCATGAAGACTAAACGAGATGAATGAAGTGTCTCTGATATAAAACATGTTAACAGGCTCAGGTTGTGGCTCAGTGGTGAAGCACTTGCCTAGCATGTGTGAGGCACGGGGTTCAATCCTCAGCACACACATGAATAAATAAAATAAAGGTATTATGTACATCTACAATTAAAAATTTTTTTCTTTAAAAGTTAACTGTTATTAGCATTTTGTTTGCATAAAAAATGTGCTTCACCATCAGTTAGACCTTGTTTCCATTTTTCTTAATTCCCTCATTCCTAGAAATTAATATAGAGACAATAATATTACTTATGCTTCTTCAAATCCTGTTTCAAGTTGGAGTGTTTTGAGATAGCAACATGCCCAGGCATATCTATTTGCTCAGTGATCCTGTCATATACTATGACCAGTTATCTAGTCTAGACCATCCACACTCACCTTTTCAAATGGTCTTCTACATCTACCTCATCAGCTCACCAGAATGCTTAGCATCCTGGAACAAGCTGATGACCACTGACACTTAGTTCATAATAAAAAAAAAAAAAACAAGGAGAAAAATAAAATAAAAAGATAAGAAGTGTTGTATAAATGTGTTTTAATTCTAAAGATTTGTTTTCTGTATCATTTTCTAACAATAAAGTATCTTTATATGACAATTTATATAAATGAAAATCTAATTTAATAAAAAGACATTTTATGAGCTTTAAGCAAAACTCTTTAAGTTGTTGGATCTTTGTGCTTCCCATAGTAAGCAGGCTTATTCTCTGCCAAATGTCATGACATCTTACACTGAAATGTTTGAATAGGCAGAGGTGTAATGCTGTGTAGATCTAGCCCAAACCACAGCTGTTATATGTCCAGTAATCATCCTAACCTATGAATTAGAGAAAAGAATAAACTTTTTATGTGTGTATGGCACTAGAGATGGAATCCAGGGGTGATTCACCACTGAGCTGTACGCCCATCTCTTTTTCTAGTTTTTTATTTTGATACAGTCTCACTAAGTTGCCCAGGCTGGCTTCAAACTTGTGATCCTTTTGCTTCAACCTCCTGCATGCCTGGGATTATAGGGATGAACTACCTCACCTGGCAAAAAGAAACATTTTTAATGGAACTAGCTCATCAATATAATGAATTAATATAAACAGTGATTGGGGGGTTCTTAATCTTGTTACCTCTCTTTCTTCAAACAGTATGTTACTTTAGCTCTCTTGATGTTTTGTTTAATTATAGTAATATCAGCTTATACTAGTATCTGAAGAGGGAGGAACCTATTATGAGTATGTAATATTCTGATTTTGAAGTATTTATTGACATCCCCAGTGGTTTGCATAATAACCATTAGTATGGCCATTCATTTTTTTTTTTTTTTTTCAGTCTTGGGGGTTGAACCCAGGGTTGCTTTACCACTGAAACATCCCCAGCTCTCTTTATTTTTATTTTATTTTGAGAGAGGTCTCACTAAGTGACTAAGGCTGGCCTCAAACTTGCCATTCTCTGGCCTTAGCTTTCCAAGTTGCTGGGGTTACAAGCATGCACCACTGTACCTGGCCATTAGTGTAGCCAGTCTAAATTGTAAAAATTTACTAAACATTTCTCCTGACTCACTTTAGTTTTCCCACAGGCCTCAGCTCTGTGTCCTGTTTGCATTTCCTGTGGCACCATGAACATGAGTAATAGCTCTGCTCAAGAACTTGTCTTCCTGGAAGTATATTTCATAGACAGATATGTAGGCTCTGAGAAGATGCAGGAACATTGTATTGATCATATAGATGTGTATTGTAGCAAATGCTTCCCTTTTGTGTAAAAAAGGTGTTCAGTATTATAATGTAATTACATTATACATTTTGGGGTGAGTAGGGGAGGATTTGCCCAGATGTTTGGAGAGCCTAGCCAGACATAGGAAAAGTTTGGGTCACATGAACTTGATTAAGGCTGAACCTCATTTCAGTACTTATTAGAATATTCTTTTAAACAGTTTCAGACCCACAAACGTTTGAAGACTAAGAGTAGTTAGGATAAAATTATATTCCTCCCCTGAGACTAATGGGGCAGTTAACATTCACTCCTGCATAGGTATTTAGAAAGGAGTGCCCCTTGACCTATACCACCCACCTAGGTTTGACAAAGACATGAGTGGATTCCCTCCTACCAGAAGATGTTCTAGGACCAGAAAGCTATTCTGACTGAAGAGTGCAACAATTAGAAATACTGCTGGGGACAAACCAGCATGACCAAGCCTGGATCAAGGGGTTATTGGCTCTAGGAAGTTCATATGCCTTCATCATTATGCTGTACGGACATAGATATATCTAATATTCATCCAAGTCTTTATAGATTACTCTGGAAGCCTAACTACTTTCTACAATGTTTCCACAGGAAATTTTTTACATGGCAAATGTAGTAAATAGTCCAAATTATTCATTTACCAATAAACTTTTTCTTCTTCTTCTTTTTTTTTTTTTTTTTTGTGTGTGTGTGTGTGTGGAACAGGGGGTTGAACCCAGGATTTAACACATGCTAGGCAAGTGCTCTACCCTTGCAGCCTAATTTACCAATAAATTTTTAACCTCTTTCTGTATTTGAGTTGCCGACAAAATATTTGATACTTTTTTAAGGTGGGATTAATTTCTTTATTTTATACATTTAACCTTATTTTGATATGTAGCCATCCAATACATATTTAGATTCTCCTTTTGTTCCTTTGGAAGCTATATTTCTTCAAAACAAATTATTAAATAGTTTTGGAATGCTGGACATTATAATTGCCTATTAGTGACATCATCCGTTGTCAGTTATCCACCCATGGCCCAGTAAACACAATATTGTCTCTCTTTTTTTTCCAAAGAATTGTGTTTCGTAGCAACTCTCATAAACTTAACAAAATAAATTTTTTGTAAAGCTTAATGAAATCTGCTTACTTTCAAAAATTCAAGCTAAATTATTAATTTTGTAATTATAATACCTAATATAGAAAACAACTTTTTTGTATGTGCCTACAATCTCAGCTACTTAGAAGGCTGGAGCAAGGGGATCACTTGAACCCAGGAGTTCAGGGCCAGCCTGGGCAGAACAGCAAAACCTTGTCTCAAAAAACCCAAAGGAAATAAATATTTTTTACAGTTAAAAGATAGTTGTATGTTTGGGCTAAGTCATAAAGTCCACCAGATTTTATCTGTTCTGTATTTCTGGTGATGGTACATCACTCATCCCTACTTGCTATTTGAGGTCCATATAGAAGGAGACTGAAGGCCATAGAACTGTCCTCGCAGACAGATATGCTGCTGGAGTACTGCAAAGGGAGCATGACTAAGCTCCCTGCCTCAGTCTAGAAGACTCACCAAAAGACAGCCATCCTGACTTTGTTTTTCTATGACATTTGGAGGATCAGACCCAGGGGTACTCTACCACTGGGGACACACACACACCCGCCCTTTTTATCTTTTTAATTTTGAGAAAGACTCTTAGTAATTTGCCTAGGCTGGCCTCATATTTGCAGTCTTCCTATATCAGCTCCCCAAGTCGCTGGGAATCAGATGTGCACTACCAAACATGGTTTCTGTAACATATTTTGGATTTGAGTGTCTATACTGACTGGTCAGAGTAAGAAGAGTCAGAAAAATCACCCCAATTTAAATTTAAAGACTATAAAATTTTCAAAGCAACACTGGCTACTCATTCTTATTGGCATAATGCAGGTCCTGCCTACGCTTCCTTCCTCTCCAGAGTTTTTACTGCTATTTATCTAGTGCTATTCTTCCAAGGCACACCCTGACCTTTGTCCTCACCAGTGGCCTGTGCAACAGTTTAGTAGGTCAAACAAGCTGAGAGGTAGCGTTGCTTTGGTGTCATGTGTATGAATGTTATCTTTCTTATTGTTGATTATTCCATGGTTTTATTTTTATATGACAGGACAATAATGAGAAAAAGAACAAAATTTTCATGAAATAAGTTTAACCTATAACTAACAAATTCAATTATTTGGCAAAGGGATAGGAGATCCTCTTTCAGTTTAAAAAATTGACATATATGGTGGTGCACACCTATAATCCCAGCTAGTTGGAAAGCTGAGGCAGAAAGATTGCAAGTTCAAGGTCAGCTGGGCAACTTAGTGAGAACTTGTCTCAAAGTAAAAAAAAAAAATGGGGGAAGCGGGTGTAGCTGAGTGGCAGAGTAATTGTCTATATGCACAATCCCACTGCCAGGGGGAAAACATCCTACAGGTTTATTTTATCTATTTCCTATCCAGTTAAAACAAAGACCACTAATCTCTGAATCTAACATATATTATTAATTTGTAGGTGCTATTTTTTGCAGGGATCTTGATGGTCCCTTTTAAAATAATGTACTGGAGAAGATTTTATTAGAGACTTTTTAGTTAGTACTCAGTGTATAGAGAAGGCTCTGCCTCAGTACTGAAAGTGACAAAGAAGGTAATTGACAAGGTGATTGACCTTGTATTGCATCCCTTTAAATGGAAAGCAGGACAGCCACAAGTACCAGAGCAGTTCAAGTGACTAGATAGGTCTTAGCTGACTTATTTCAAAAGATTTCATAATAGAAGTGAGAACAAATGATATGGCATAAAGAAGGCTCTTTAAATAGACAATATAAGATGGCTGTGAACATATAAAAGTAGGAATAAGAGAGTACATGTGAAAGGAAAATAAGAGGATTTATTGAAAAGAAAATTCACTCACTTATTCAGTAAATATCATTTAGTACATATT